TATCGTTTTAACAGCAGCATTCATGGTGATATTCGGAATCAGCATCGTCGACTACCTATAGTCCACTCGGTTTCGTTGAAAAAGCGATTTATCAGTTGGGGTATTTCTCTCGTAAGTACAAGAGTAAGTACCAAAACCAGGCATGCACCAATACAATATCTGTGTTGATTGGGTCCCAATAATATTGGTCACCCCAATATCAATATATTGGGTTTTCACAATATTATTGGATGTTGGATCGCTTGAGCTCGGTCTACCTTCACAGTTCAGACGTATGCTTTATATTCCGTTTTGAATCAAAATATAACCCAATTAGGCACGCACCGATTAATAATCGATATTAGAGCATTCAGCAAAGTTGTTCCAAATCAGTTATAGAAAAACACTTAGAGCTGCCGAATGTCTCATTTTGTAGAAAAATCTTTGCTCTACCAAGCTACTGAACTGCTAGGAAAATTTTAATGTTATATATCGAAAATGCACTAAAATCGTTGAAAAATAATCGATAGTCGCTTTTTTCGCAATTCTGCTCAGTTTTGGATGCTTATATTTCTGCCACAGATAACACTAAATGTCCCTTTTGCACTTCAGCTTGGCAGAGCAAACATTTTTCTACAAAATAAGACATTCGGCAGCTCTAGGTGCTTTTTCATAACTGATTCGAAACGACTTTGCTGAATGCCCTAATATCGATTATTAATCGGTGCAGGCCTAATCCCGGTCGGGATAGGTTTTTCTGTCCCAATTAGGATATATATTCCGATCCGGACATGCTTTCTCACTGTTTTATGAACGTAAATGATATTAAGGTTAAAAGGTTGGAATCTAGTGTATTGTGAAACCCAATATTACCTAATATCATTGCACAATATTATTGGTCCCGATATATCGGTATACAATAATATTGGGACCCAATATTATTGGATAGCCAATAATATTGTACAATATCTTCAATAATGATTGGTGTTGGTACATGCTTAACTAAAACCTGATGAAGATTCAAAACGCCTGTAACTACCAAGAATGTAATGGACTATAAACATCTGTGAGCGTTAAATGGATGCGTTAGATCAACAATCTTTGTTGGAAGAGCTTCGTGGATCCTGGAAATTAGTTTAACCTTTTTCAAGTACCAGATCTCTAGCAGAATTCCTGCTTGGTTTTATCCACACAAAAGTATTAAATTGTGACTTGCACATAATATGACTGGTACACGTATACCACATCATCTTCGAATTTCCAACTATCTTGAAAATCGGTATTGATTTTCCAGAAAACTGAAAAATCGATGTGGAATTTCCAGAATCTCGGAAATTATTTACGAAAAATCGAATAGATTGTCTAGAAAATAGAAAATTGCGAACTTCTAAACGATCAGAAAATCTACGAGCATTTTATAAATATTAGAGGTCATCTATAATATGAACTCAAAAAAATTCCGCATAAACGAAATGCACTTTACTGATTTCAAGCGCATTGATGGCTACTTTAATCTGCTTTGGATGGCATGAGTCATCATCACATAACTATATATTATACCACATTGAGAAATCCGTTGTTCTCCACTGTAGAAAAAATAAATCTTTTTTATTCCTCTAAATATTACTATTTGATAGAACATACATACTCTTCGCAGTAGAGTTACGCTTTTTCTATAGTCGCAGTAGAAAAATCAATAGAAGTAATGTAGAGAAAGCTTCTTTGTCTGTGTTATTAGATATAAAAATATCATTCGATAACAGTTTCTGACTGAATGAACATTTTTGATTCGAGATACAGCTCTTTGTTGATTAAAAGCATAATCCTGTTGTCGGAAAATGCTAAGTGACTGTTGCGGTGGATGAATGAGTTCTTTATTTTTTAAAAAGGGAAGTTATGTTGTTCACTTACTTGTGTGCCCCCTGTTGCATCATAACTAATTGCTTGAATCAATGAATCGGCGTCTCTGTTCCATGATGGTACATTAAATTGATCTGTATTGGTATCTTGTGCGCAAAGGCCTGCTTCTGCATCACCGTTTTGAACTAAATTCTCACCATAGGGACCTGTGGTTAGCGATATTAACTTAAAACTAATATCATCCACGTAAGCATCGATGTCATCACCATCGCTTCCCACGAAAACCACATCAACTCTTCAGAAGAAAAGATATATATTCTCAAAAGGTAACTTGTGAATGAACAAAAAATAAGTCGCTTACTGCACTGATCGCACTCCAACAGGCACAAGTCCATTGACCACTCGATATAGGGTTTTATTTGTATTACTTCTATCTGTGCTGTAGACCGGTTCTAAGTTTTAAGAAGAAAAGAAGAGAAATTATTATTTTAAGAGAGAAAGAACATTTTGAACAAATTCATTCTCCGAAGAGGCATGCGGTGTCACCATCTTGCGTTGAACC